TAGTTACAGCTACTGAGATTAAATTTCTGGGTTTGATTATTGATGACACTTGGTCTTGGAGCCAGCACATTTATTATATTATATTATCTGCGGTATGTTATGCAATTGGAAATATAAAGCATACAGTAACAACAGAAACGCTAAGGTTAATTTACTTTACCCATGTTCATTCCATTATTAGTTATCGAATAATCTTCTGGGGCAGTGCTAGCATTTTCTGTCATAATGAATATGAGGCCAAGAGGCTCCTGTAGGGAGATTTTTTAAGAGGATGAAAATAATGACATTGTATTCCCAATATATAAATGCAATACTTTTATTTCTGGTTAATAATAAAAAATTATGTGAAAATAATAGCTAATTACATGATCATAAAACTAGGATATGTAAAAACTTACACCTACCTGCAGTGAATCTGGTCAAATTTGACAAAGGTGTCTATATCACAGGTACAGTCAACTCTCGATTATCCGGGCTAATGGTGGGGATGGAAGTCACGGTTAATCGAAAACCCGGTTAAGCCAAATTTTATTATACGAGCTGGACGACTGTGAAGGGTCGGAGTTCGAGTCCCGGTAGGGTCAAGAATTTTAACTTCTCCAAATCGTCCAGACCGGCTCTGGGGTCCATCCAACCTCCTATCCAATGGGTACCGGGGGCTCTTTCCCCGGGGGTAAAGCGGCCGGGGCGTGAAGCTGACCACTCACCTCCAACTAGTGCCGAGGTCAAGAAAATTTGGATCTATACATCCACTCCCCCACACGCCTTAATGGCGTAGGGCTTAATTCGTTGAGCAGAGGAACAACTTTACCTTTTACCTTTTAATACCTTCATAATACTATAGACCTACCTGTATTTAAATTTATTCATCCTCATTTCTATGTCATCTCATGGCCTATTTAATACTTTCTTTACATTACACTCAGTATGAATTAGTTATTTCAATCACTGTTCAACAACATCCAGCACTTTTTACGGTCACACTTAACACTTAAAATAATTTAATACTGTCTTTTGCTTTTTCGCGGCATTTTCCTTTTTACGGATATCCGTACGAAGCCTACGTAATATTAGCTTGTCACTTAATAAACTGTCCTCTTCACTCTCAAGATAGTCTAGTAAGGATTCCAAATGATTAAGCGCAGCACCATGTGATACTTTCTTACTGGCAACACTGTCCACCTCTTCCTCATTCTCACTTTCTTCCCGCTCTTCTGGCTGCACCCCCATTGAAGTTACGATTTCGTCACTGCTTAACATTTCGAAGCCCGGTTCACACGAGTCACAGTTAAACCACTCTCTTATATTTTCCTCGTTGACTTCTTCACCACCATGAACTTGGTTAGCCACTTTTGTCAATTTTATGGCTATCTCATTTTCACTGAATCCAGTGAATCCATGGATTTCGTCATCTTCATTAGTGATGAAAGGCATCAGTTTCTTCCATGAATTTTTCAATACAGATGGCTTTACTGTATCCCACGCTGTTGAAATCTCGTATATGGCATCTAATACTGAAAAGGACTTCCAGAAACACGTCAGATCATTGCCTTCATCGATGTACTTTTGTAGCAAATTTGATCTGTAGATTCTCTTCATACTTGAGATAACTCCTTGATCCATTGGTTGGATAAGTGCGGTAACATTAGCGGGAAAATATTTCACAAAAATATTTCCATCATCTGACCTCAGGAGACTTTCGTTAGGATGTGAGGGCGCATTGTCAATGAGGAGCACAGCTTTCTCAGGTAGGCCTTGGGATTTTAGATGGTCACGAACTTGAGGCACGAATTTAAAATCAAACCATTCTTTAAATATCGCTCTATTCATCCAAGCTACTTTCTGGTTAAAATAATGGATAGGCAGACTTGAAGCTACTGTTCCTTTAAAAGAGCGTGGTCTTTTCGCTTTGCCGATAACTACTGGTATTAGTTTGTGTGTTCCTGATGCATTAGAACAGCACAAGACTGTCAATCTCTCCTTACTGGATTTGTGACCTGGAGCCTGTCTTTCATTTTGAAATGCCAATGTTCTGGTTGGCAAGCATTTCCAATAAAGACCCGTTTCATCGGCATTATAGATTTGTTCTGGCAGCAGATTTTCACTTTTCACAAAACTATCAAAATTGGTGCAAAATTGATCTGATGCTGACAAGTCCCCTGACAATTTCTCACCTTGAATACTGATTTCTCGTATTCCATGACGCTGCTTGAAACGTGTTAGCCAACCGGAAGAAGCGTCAAAACTCCCTTCTAGTTCAAGTGCTTCGAAAAAATATTTAGCTTGTTTAGCACAAACTGGTCCTGTTATTGTTGTTCCCTGTGCCCTTAGTTGATTAAACCAGGTCAGCATCGCTTTGTCGAGATCATCGTATGTTGATTTCTTCATGGTTTTTCTCTTCTTCATTCCGCTTGAATTAGAAGACGAAGCAAAGGAAATTAACTCATTCTTTTGTTTTTTCAAATCACGAACAGTTTGTTCTCCAATACCGTATTGCATTGCTAATTGTTTAACTACAGCTCCTTTTTCCAGCTGATTGATAATTTCAAGTTTCTGTTGAATACTTAACACAACACGCTTCCTTTTAAACCCCGACATTTTGCTAACGCACTTGAAGATCTATATTAAGAAACTGATACTTACTTTCACAATGCACTCTCACACTGAGATGGTACCGTTAAATAACCTGGGGCGGTGTATTTGTCCTTGAAACTTTCCAAAAATTCTTGCATTCTTTCACCCCCACCCTAGAACATTGTGTTCGCATAACGGGACGAAATAATGCAGAGCTCGGTTCACACTAGTGCGAAAATAGTGTTAAACTCACCATGTGAAACAAAAGTGAATGAATATTAAACAACATATAAACTTAAAAAAAAAAGCCCCGGTTAAGCCGCAAACCGGTTAATCCGCCCCCAGATAATCGAGAGTTGACTGTATAAGAGTTTTTAATCATTTACCTCATTCAATAAAGAGATTGGTGAATGATGAGAAGGGTTTTAAATCCACTTTAAAAAAATGTTTCTGTGTACCATTCCTTTTACTCCATGAATTAGTTTTATCAATATACTGAGAGTTAGAATACACTGTTCCCTGCTACTAAGTACTGTTTTAATATATGTATGTTTTATTATCTAGGATTTGCATACTGACTCACTTGATATTCTGGGTATGAAGTTTTAAAATTTTGTTGTATATATGAACGAATGAATTTGACAAGGCAGCTCAACTTTTATGTAGAAAAAACAGATATTAAACATTTCAAAATTCAAGTATTGTACTTTAATCTATTAAATGTGCCCTTAGATATTATGGCTTCAATAGAAATAAGCTAAAATTCTAATATGCTGCTACCATGGAAATTGTAACAATAACAACCCAATGCAACTATTTGAAGATTTGCAGTACACAATTGTATCTAATTTTATTATTTATCTGGTTTAATAGTGTGTGTGTTATATTGTAATTATAGGTTAACCACATCAAGAGTGATTATTTATTGTTGACAAATTCTAATCCTTTAGGCATTTGGGCACAAGGATTTCAAGAATGACGTATTTAATGTTGTGACTTCTTCAAGTGTTACTGTTGTAGCAACTATGAATGCCAAATAAAATGAATGAATGAAAGGCAGCATAAGCTGTACTACAGAATGTGATGGTTACAAGTTTCAATTCCATTCCATTCTTATGTAAAGACAATGTGCATTCAAGGAAACAACTCTGTCTGATAACAGTAGTTAGTTAGTTAGTTATTGGAGAGGGTGGGTTTCCCCATGCACTTACACCTGTATTGGTCCATTGTGCTTCCCTCTATGATTTCTACCAGTCTCTATATCCTACCGGTACTGGTGCTTACCATCAGTCCCACCCAGCCAGCGAGACCGGCTCTACTAGCTGAGAGGTATCTATAATGCTTCCCCCATCTATCAGATGTATTAGAGACTGCTGTTGGGCGGGAAACGTCCATAATTTGGCTCAGTGACCTCCTTTGGAGATATGAGGTTCTTTTACGTACTGTAAAGCTACGACATGGAACCCACAGCTTAAAGTCCCTCGCGGAGGACTTGTTCCCTGAATTTTTCCGCCCTTAAAACTTCGACGACCTCTGCCGGGTATTTGAACCCACGTACTACGAGTCATGAGGTGGGAACGTTACCTCTAGACTAGGGAGGCTGCTCTGATAACAGTAACTATAAGGTTGAATTAAACAGATATGGGTTTGGTAATGACATTTAACGCTTTAGGTTTGGGTACATCACATAATCAGTTTACGCTAGTAAGAAATGTTATTTTTTGTTTTTTCAACCTCCACCACCTCCTCCTCCATCATCATCATCATCATTGTGATTATTATTATTTTTATTATTATTATTATTATTGTTGTTGTTACTATTCCTCTTCTACTTCTTCTTCTTCCTTGTCCCTTTCAATAGCTCTGTCTCCACCTGACTTAATCTGTGTACAGATGGAGCAAAACTTCATTCTTCAGTTTTCCCCATTCTCACTTACACTTGTAAAACGTGGCGAGAAATTGGGTTTTATAAAATCATACCTAAATTCTTACTTACAGTTTCACCACACACTTGAAAGCAGCAATATAAATCATACCAAGATTCAGAAAAAATCTGAAATTATTTATAGCTATAATGTATTCCATGTATAATTAGTAGTAATGCTTGCAACACCAGAAATCAGAGTGTGCTGAAAGTTTCATACAAAAAATTGGAAATCATCAAACTGACATGAACTAAGAAATCAGTACTACAAAAGGAATTGCAGATGGTCAGTTTGGCCAGCCATATTATAACTGATTCTAATAACACTATCATGCATGAGTTGTTTTACCTGATTCTTTCACTACCAAATCTTTGATAGATTTAAAGCTCTCTAAACAGAATTCATACATGCCTTAAACAGCATTCACATACAACAATGTTTGTGTAATTTGTATAATACCTTTAACTTCCAACATAAAGAAAATACTTGTATATTGCTCACTTTTCTGCTAAAAGATTTGCATCCAAACCATCGGGTTCTTCGTCTCCCATTTCGTAACTATATGGTGTCTTCGGTTCATCAATCTTCATATGTCCATAATCTTTATCAGGTGGGTGCAAAGTTGCAATGATGTTCATTTCATCCCATTTAGTTTCCTTTTGTTTTCTGAAATTGTACGAAACATTTCTTTACGAATGAAATACAAATACTGCTCAATGAAAATGATGACTTCACCATACATTAACATCCGTCACTATAGGTTTGGTTAGTCATATGTCAAATACATAGGTGGGCCGGGCGACCAGGTATATGTATATATACTGTAATACGAAATAAATAACAAATATACTAACATTTTACGAAATAAATTACATAAAAATTAATCGAAAATGTACCTTTTTAGAGCTGCATCTGGCTTTTCAAAACTTGTAGACGATTTTAGTATGCTCTTGGACGGCCTCTTAGTCAAATTTTCAGCCATATTTTCCTCCTCACTCTGGGCTCTGGAACTCTGGAAGGTGAATTGATTCGATACACATTAGATTACTGACGCTATCCTGCCACCCAGGCAAAGGGGAAGAGAGATTGGGCCAGTTAGCAACGTACAAGAAGACACCTACAAATAATTACAGAACTCCTAGAACACAACAGATGTCAGGAGACTTGGGCCGGGCGCAAACCAAGGAAACTGGCAACAGCAACACAACCGCGTTNACATCTCAAGTGGGTGTGTTTGCCCGCCAATTTCGTGCACTTTTCTTCTGCAATGTCAGGTAATAATGTGGTTCCTGTAATGATATGGTGGTGGTTAAGATGGCGTAAGAGAAGACAGGAGAAAAGAAAACATTGGGTGAACCCGTTCTTTCACGACAATTTAAACTCAGGTGTTTATATTGTTTCGAAGGAACTTAATCAGGATACAGAACTGTTCAAATCATTTTACAGAATGAGCATTGAAAGTTTTTCTTTATTAGTGGATCTTGTAGGGACTCAGAATCGAAGAGACGATACAAATTTTCGTACAGCTGTGTCAGCAGAACCATAAGAAAATTATAGTTTTGTATATTCTAAATTTTACATTTTTTGACAACAGGCCAGAAGACGAAAGGTTCTGAAATTTTTCATTCATTCATTCATTCATTCATTTGTTCACATTCCATAAAATCCTTACAAGGTTGAAATAACCAATAGATATAGAAATCGTCCAGAAAAATGAACTCATCTTGCTTAGAAATCAAGCAGTTGTCAAAATAAGAAGTTTATAGTTTGTGGGGTCGCTACTAATGTTCAACACACGCGCTTGCTATTTGTCTGTTCTTACTGATTCGCCCTCACTGTTAGTTCCACCGCGAGTGTACCGGCAGATACTTGCTCCTCCGTAGTAGGCGGAGTCTTACGGCCGTTAAGCTGGCCTGTCTGGAAGGTCTGGAAGGTGATGCAGCGCTGCGCGCACCGGTAGAAACGGCTGCCTCGGGCGTTTGCTGGAGTTTCGGAAGCTGTGTTCGCTGCATGGTCGCTGGAGACTTGCGGCTGCTGCTTAGGTTGCCTGGTCGCTGGAGGCTTGCGGCAACTACGTCAGTTGCCAGGTCGCTGTGAAGAGCTGATGCCCCTGTCAGGGCTGCTATCTCGGGATGAACTGAGCGTGTCGACTGATGACTGCGTCAAAGTTAAAGTCAAAGTCAAAGTCATGTTGCAACTGACGGTCAGTCAATCTGTCTGCCTTGGTGTCGAGTCCCAGCTGGGGCTCATGACCAGATGTATTCTTCTTTGTGAAAGTTGCTGTCCTGTCCATTTGGGGCGCCCTTTCTAACGAGAGGTCGGGTTTGTCATTTGTCAGTCTTAGTCAGTCCATGTCAGTATTGATATATATTTACAATTAAATTCTAGTCTTAATTACTATTTCTATGTACAATAAATTCAAGTCCCCTGTCAATTCAGGAATTGTACAGCAGATTGTGCCCTATTTGTAGCATTATTTGCTACCACGGCAGTCTAGTCACTTGAACAGTCGTATGCCTGACCGCCGCTAAGTTTAAGTNCCTCTTGTACTTTCTGTGTCGGGCTTCGCCTTGTCCGATGTTGCGAACATTCTCGTTTTCATGATTTTGTAAGACTTCTGCTTGTTGCCTGCATAATTTTGTTATGTAATCATAAACGTATGGGATTTTGAATTCCATGTGCAAATCGCGGACCGGTGTGCGCCTTGAAAAATTGTCAATGGTGCGGAGAACCTTGTTTTGCAGGCGCTGCAATTTCACGAGATGGGTATCTGCCGCAAACTCCAAGGCGGGACTACCATAAGTCATTAAGGAACTAAGAAGATCTTTACGGAGGGTGAGTTTAATGTTAGCTCTCAATCGCTCAGTTTTGAATAGGGAATATACTCCAATGAACGTTCTGAAGGCCTTGGCTTCGATCATTTCTATGTGTAATCTCCATGTCACTCTCTTATCGAAGATTACACCTCGATATTTTTTCAATGTTTACAAATTGAATATTTCTTCCATTTAGAGTAAAACAAGACTCAGGCGGTCGACGACCATGAGAGAAGTAGAACCCCTGAGTCTTATCTTCATTAATTTTTATATTCCAGCGCTCACACCAGGTCTCCAATGAATTGAGACCGCGCTGGATTTTTCTGATAATAAAAGCCTCCTTGCTATGTGTCGCATACAGACAGATGTCGTCCGCAAAGAGGGCCAGGTGAACACCATGAGTTTGGTTGGCATCATTTATATACAAGTTGAAGAGAGTAGGGGAAAGGACAGAACCTTGTGGCACACCTGCTTGTATTTCCTTTGGCGTTGATATTTCGCCTTCAACCGAGACCCAGAATGTACGCTGAGAAAGAAAGGACACAATAAGCTTGGTCAAACAGAGAATTCCAATTTTGATAACTTAGACAGCAAGCCTGAGTGCCACGTGGTATCAAATATTTGTGGGGTTCTTAATGTGTAGTCTTGTCATTACTCTGATGACAACCCACTTCTTCGGAACAGTTTGTTGGTCCTGAAAAGGACCGTGGTTGCTGAGATGTTTGATCGGTGAGGTAGCCCGGCGCGCGCCGGTAAGGAGAGAGGCTAGTTACGGTGAATGGCTGGTGAAAGGCTAGTCGTTGAGCGCGGTCGCTGGAGCGGAGAGGCGGTAGCTACGTCAGTTTCCCAGTGTGTCAGGTAAGACTACCGGCGAGTCCGTGCGGCCTAGTTGCCCAGTGAGTCGGGTGCGACCGGCTGACAGCCGTGGCAGTCATGCCTAGCTCAGCGAAGCGCCGATGCCTCCGTAGACTGAGCGCTGGCGACGAAGCCTGCTGGCTGATGTTGTTTGGTGTGGCTAGCTCGTAGACTGATGATGAACTGAATGATTCGGCGTTGGAGCTGGCCTCTTTTTATACACTGCTCGATGGGCGGAGCGAAACTTCAAATTGAGGAGGAAGAATTGATTGGCTAGCGCGCGTAATAATGTACACGCGGGCTAGCACCGAGCGCAGTATAAATGCGAACGTTTGGAGCAATATGATTGGGGATTCCATTATTCGATTCGGGTCATTCAGAGGATTGATTCGAGTGATATTCGGGGATTCATCGAGATTCGATTCATTCGTCGAGTTCATAGGGATTGACCATTCAGTAAGGAGTAAGTCTGTTCGACAAAACTCGATATTGGATGAGAAATTTGGACTGAATTCTTGTGTCTGGACAACATTGTGAATTCAGTGCGGGCTATACGCCAGTACTCGGCCGGGTGTTTAATCTGTAAGTGTCCAGCCAGTAATGGCTGGCGTCCCTGTGCCGGGGTACCAGGCATTCTGGGCCGAAAAACGTGCCGCTCTTCAGGCCGAATGTAAAGAAATCATACGACAATACCCCGAGGCCGAAACCCAGTACAGGCGCTTATTCGACATC